GTCTCTCGATATTCTCCACAATTCATACAACTCTTGCACGCCCCGGCTTCGCTCTTAGATGAATAAGTTCTGCCTAGCTCACATGGCTTACAAACGATGGGTGTCTGTGGCGATATTATATCACCACAGTCCACAGAGAGACCTTGTCTCGCCGGACACACCAAGCAGTCCTGGCACTGAACTTGCCCCGTTACTGAATCCCAGATGGTTATACTGTTACCTGGACATGATGAGGCGGAGACAGACATCCAGAAGACAGACACCACGGTCATGTATGGTATGCCGAAAAGTCGATTAGAAGAGCACATCAGAAATCTCAAAGCTAAAACTTTTAGAGCTGTTCAATTCAGGGCTTGGGGTCATGCTGAAAAAGAAAGTCATTTTGGGTCAAGTGAGCTCAAAAGCAGCTGCTTTATTGGCAACAGACCTGGTTATCCTGGAAACGAGTTCTGAAATCATTCCAAACAGCATTATCTCGTTTACAAGTGCGCAACTAATGCAAATCCCAGGCGTTTTGATTGCGACGGGGAAACCAACGAAATGATGAGGAGGACGGAAACGCGAACACTAGAAGTCGAAGAAGAGTCGTGTCCAGACTCTCCGCGCGCTCTTCCGTTCTCAAATGACGCTCCCGTTCTCTTGCTAAATCTCTTGTATGGATGGACGACGGCTCCCTTCCTTAGAAAGAGAGGAAGCTCCCAGAGGCATTTCATCGTTTGAGCAGAGTCGGATAGAGAGCACACAGTTTGCGATTCCTTTTGTCTTCAGAAAAGGTAACAAAAAGCTCAGAATCTATAATGATTATGGCCTTCTAAGATCTAACACGCTTCACGACAACGTGAAGGCAATAAGCTGGGATCAAAGCTGATTCGACATTCCTTAAATGATCATAACCGCAAGGGAACCACTATACAGCGCTTCCAACCATACAGGTTGTATGTGTTTAGAGGCAAATGTATGAAGCAGTTGAACCTAAATGTTTTAAGTCTATCTGGGTAAAGTCATTCAACACGAATGGACCAGAGGAAAGTGAGATTTCGGTATCGTCTTAAAATCGTTTCACATCTAAGCCTCTATGTCAGCTAAGGTATAAAGCAATTTTATATTCCGTTTACAGCTGTAGATTTTGGGTTTCCCAAATGCGGTAATGACACGCGACACGCGGGTTATCGGGAAGATTTTTTTAAGGTCAGTCGCAAACAAATAAAGTTTTCTGATTTTGGTTGTTGCGCACTTGCGTTACAAATCGTCAAAAACTGACAAATGGTGTCAATCATCACTGTGACATTTTTTACCTTCAGTGGTTCCGGAAGTTGAAACCGTACATTGCGCAATTGACGTGAGTCGGTTAGAGGCATTCAGGCTCCTTTTATTTTTTCCATCTGTTTGTGCATACAGCAATTAGATAAGAACAAGATTTGTTTTAAAAAGTTTTTAAGGCCTAAACCATTCTGAGAAGGAAAGATAAATAATTGAAAATTGGAGGGCATTTGTGACCCTTATAAAAAATATCTTGCATACCGTGACCGTGGAGAACATCTTTAAAATTTACCTACACTACTAAAATTGCGGCGAACACAATTCGAACTGGATAAAATGTGAGACTTGTGAGGAAAGCCAGTAAATTTAGACAAGGCCAGGAACAGAACATCTCACCAAGACAGTGAGCATTTCGATTGAAAAAAGGAAAACAAAATACAAATAAGTCATATTTCCGGCTCATGTAGCAAAGTCACGAAATTACACCAGCTGGCTTACAGGCCCGCCGTAAACAGAAAAGTTCGAGTCATGATTCTGAATAACAACCAGCCTAGTGGCGACATGAAATTCTGAATTAACTCAGTCACAGTTTCTCGGGGAAAGGTTGAAATTAATCTTGAATATCAGGAATATACTATAAAACAGCGAACGCAACAGTGAAAGTGATTGATTCGCGTGACCACTATGGTTAAATGTCTCTTCTCATTTTCAGCTGATTCAATGAAACTTTGAGTTTCCGTTTCTTGTACAGTCACTCTATTCTTTTTTGTTATTCTACCTTTGGACGGAATTCGAACGCGTTCGAAAAGGAAATTGCAAAATAATCTTCAAGTTCTTTAAGCCTCAAAATCAATAAAGTTGAAACCGCAAGAATAAGAATGTTTTGCACATTCAGTGTTTCAGCAGTAAATGTACTTCATCGTCCATATCCCTCACTTGCGCAATCCAAGCACTTTGTCAGAAGATTCTTGTTGCTTGTTTCTTGATTCCTTCTCAACAATGGATGATTTACCAATAATCGGATCCTTGCTTTTGCGCACAGATTTTTGGGATCGCCACGTGGCAAACAATACAACTCGCTAAAAAGGGATGTATCATGAAAGGTTTTTTCGACTTCCAAAAAAGCGATTTTGATATGTTTGTGGAGTTTTTTGTTGTTTTCTTCTAATGTTCGATTCGGTCGATCGAGACGTTAGCAAGAATAAAAAGCTAAGGGGTTGTCCTATCTGTCACTATGTGGGCACCCAGATCGCCAACAGGGAATTGCGATAAATTCAGGTCGCGAGTTGCGAAACAAATCGCATAAGTCCTTTACCCTATATGGAAAGATTTTCTCAAACTTTCAACTACTCAAACACTAAAGTCGCGAAGCGCCGGATGCATTGAAAAGGATGTCATAAGCAATATATGCGCTTAGTCAGCAAAAACCAACGGCAAGTGATTGAATCATTTAATGTTTGTAAGCTACACATGAATTTTCCTCCTTCATCAAAGTTAATACAAAAGGTGATGCTATTATCATCAAATCACCTGCAAAATATTCTCCGGTCCATTAACAAAATTGTTTCAGCAATGTCTCAGACGTCTTAGGACAGTAATGTATAAAGAGTCTTTATTTTTACAAAACGCAAAAGATAGTCAGCGCTAAAAAAAGAGGTAAAATATCTCGTGATACATGTCGCAATCTTGCGACACAAAAGAATAGACTGGCATGCCCAGACAAATAACGTCCCTCTTGCCGCTGTCAAAGCGAGGATGTTGAACTCCCTGCGCAAAGTGGTCCAGTGGCACGCAACACACGGAATATAAGTCTTTTAGGAAGCTCTTATTTACGGTATAAAAAGAGCACAGTTTTCAGGTCTTGATTGAATCACTTGATCATTCTTAACGCAACCACTATTCCAAGCATCGAAACCCAAATACGGAAATACCAATCATGCCAATTCCATTACTATGCTCTTATTAAACCTCGGTGTTTCCCATACCATACTGAAACTGTTGCACAATATTTGAGATTGAAAGCTTTTAATGCTGTTCGTTTGCTTTCATCTTCTTTGGCACAAAAAAACCGAACAATTAAAAAAAATACTAAAATTATTTTAAGGCTTAGACTTCCTAAGAAGTAAGAGATTTTCGCAAGGACATAAAACCTTGACTTACAACTTCAGGAAGTCTCGCTGATGGAAGTTAGACGTAATTTTTTTTCTTGCTTAAAAAACCGGGGAAGGGAAAATGGAAAGAATCAGCCTACCTCTGTGTGAAGTCTAAAATCGTCGCGCTAACACAGCAAATGGACTGTTAAAAGAACGCCTTTCTGATCACGAACACGCATAGCGCAAAGAAATTGTGCCCTTTTGTCTGATGGTCTTTACCATAAAATAAGAGATTATACACTGTATACAGTTGAATCTGTATTAAGCAGTTACTCACGAGGAATGCTGGGAAAAAAGTGATCTTTGGACCCAGGACATAAAACAGGAAATAAACAAAACTAATCAAAAGGGTTACCCCCGAAGGATCGCCACCTTGTCGTGGTCGGCGGGCTTGAGTGCCTCAGAGACCCTTAGAGCCATGCCGGCGGGAGCTTTGTCTCATGGTAGGGCCACCTAAGCCCTACAGGTCGAAGGGTAGAGGTTCGACGAAGCGCGATCCACCGGTCCTCCAGGTTAGGGGTTTGGGCACAGAGCAAACAGCCCTGTCCCGTAAAACACCCACGTTACGGAAACGGCAACGAAGAAAATCATCACTACTGGGCGAGACGGGCTTTCAGAGTCATCGAAAGATATTCGTATGAATGACATTGATGAAAGCCGAAAGGAAACCGCTGACAGGAAGATGGAAGTCTTGAGCGCCAAATGCAAGACCGGAATTGGATTCTGGAATGGAGACGGAAACGAGACAGGAAAGCTGGCTCAAGCCACAGCTGAGATGGGACGTTACAACCTACACGTCTCTGGAATTAGTGAGAGCAGATGGACAGGTTCAGGCAGACACAAAATCAACACAGGAGAGACAGTGCTATATTCCGGAAGAGAAGACGATCAGCACCATGAGGGAGAAGCCATCATCCTCAAGAAAGGTCTCGAGAAGTGCCTGATGGAGTGGAAGCCAATCGACAGCAGGCTCTTAAAAGTAAGATTGAAAGGGAGACACATCAACACAACTATCATCCAGTGTTACGCACCAACAAACGACTGTGAGGAAGATGATCTTGCCTTGGTCTCCCATACTCAACAACACATGCAGGAAAAGACGACCCGACTCAGCACTTGCGCACAGCAAGTTGGCCTGACGATCAGCCAAAAGAAGACAGAAGTGATACTGCTGAGCGTGTCCAAACCTAGACCAGTTTAAGTGAACAGAGAAGACCTGCCAACGACTGAAGAGCTCACTTACCTGGGCAGCACAATAAGGCATGATGAAGGAGCTGGGAGTGACATCAAGAACCGTCTCAACAAGGCCAGAAACGCCTTCAGAAGCTCAACAACGTGTGGAGGTCCTCTCAGTTTAGCACTAAGACCAAGCTGAAGATCTACCAAAGCTGTGTGATATCCACCCTACTATACGGCTCTGAATGTTGGAGGATGACAGAGTGCGACATCACCAAGCTGTCAGACTTCCACACTAAGAACCTCAGGAGAATCCATACAAATGGTGTAGCGTTTCGTGGAATAGCTTGCCATCATCAGACGCTCTAGCTGAATATTAAATTGCTTAGGATTACGTGAAATATTTCGATGTTGTGACGAATCGTGCTTGTGGCGTGACGCGAAGGCTATCTCGCGGAAACCACCAAAAATACAAATACGGTACATTGGTGTACTGGTATGTATCCGCGCTAAACCAACTTGGAAAAACTATTTCTTTTGCAAACACTACTTTTGGAACGCGGAAAAAAACCGTAAGTTAATTTACTAAGTTAACCTAACTGAATTTACAAAGTCTACATGCTAATGTTAATACCATACCTGCCTACCTTACACTTCTACAGGAGATAGACAACTCCTTGGAAATGCAAAGGAGGAGGTAACAGCAATATATTTGTGTTTTCCAGTATCACAGCTGTACAATCCTCCAATTCCATCGCACAAGTTTCCAACCCATCTTAATTTTTAGTTAAAGAAGTTATGATTTTGTTTTATAGATCATTTATT